GTCTTTCTAATCCAACTTAAACAAAGAAGAACATAATCACATCCTCTCATCCTGAAGATCTTATTCTTGGAAGTAAAGATGCTCCAGTCAGAATAAGATCGACTCTCAAACCTTCTAATGAAGAGCTTCTGGGTTTAGTCTCCTTAATAGAACCTACATCAATTGAGGAAACTATTCTAGATAAGGATTGGATTATGGCCATGGAAGAAGAACTGAACTAATTCTCAAAGAATGATGTATGGGATCTTGTTCAGAAACCTAAAGGTGACCACGTTATTGGAACTAGATGGGTGTTCAGAAACAAGCTCAATGGGAAGGGTGACGTTGTTAGAAACAAAGCTCGGCTGGTCGCATAAGGTGATAGTCAACAAGAAGGTATAAAATATATAGAAAACTTTGCACCAGTCGCCAGGTTAGAAGCTATTCGGTTATTAGTTTCTTTTTCTGTAAATCATAATATCATTCTTTATCAGATGGATGTTAAGAGTGCATTTCTGAATGGTTATATTTCAGAAGAAGTATATGTCAAACAGCCTCATGGCTTTGAAATATATGAGAAATTAGACTTTGTTTATAAACTAAAGAAATATCTTTATGTCTTGAAACAAGCTCCCAGAGCTTGGTATGACAGATTGAGCAATTTTCTGTTAGAAAATAAGTTTACTAGAGGAAAGGTTGACATTACACTCTTCTGCAAAACATTAAAAAATGATATTCTAATTGTTCAAATCTATGTCAATGATATTATTTTTGGTTATGCTAATCCATCTCTCAACGAGGAATTCTCTAAGCTAATGCAGACTGAGTTTGAAATGAGCATGATGGGGGAACTGAAGTTATTTCTGGGAATCCAGATTGATCAAAAACCAGAGGCTACTTACATACATCAAAGTAAGTACACAAAAGAACTTCTGAAGAAATTCAACATGACAAACTACACTATAGCAAATACTTAAATGCATCCTACATGTATCTTGGAAAAAAAGAGGTAAGTGGAAAGGTTTGTCAGAAGCTCTATCATGGTATGATAGGCTCTCTTATGTATCTAACAACATCTAGACCTGATATTTATTCAGTGTAAATCTTTGCACAAGATTCTAATCAGATCCTAGGGAATCTCACTTAGCTGATGTTAAAAGAATTCTAAGGTATCTAAAAGGAACCCCTAACCTTAGCTTGATGTATGACAAAACATTAGAGTATTTTCTTTCTAGCTTTTGTGATACAGACTGCGCTGGAGATCGACTAGAAAGGAAAAACACTTCTGGAAATTGTCAGCTTCTAGGAAAGAATCTAATCTCATGGTCAAGCAAGAGGAAATCAACAATTTCTCTTTCAACAGCAGAAGCAGAGTACATATCAGCAACGCTATACAACACTCAGATTCTATGGATGAAAAATCAGCTGGAAGATTATCAGATATATGAAAGTAACATCCCTATCTTCTGCGATAACATTGTCTCTATCTGCTTGAGTAAGAATCCTATTCTACACTCTAGGGCTAAACACATAGAAATCAAACATCATTTTATTAGAGATTATGTTCAGAAAGGGATTCTATCTTTAAAATTTATAGATACAAACCATCAATGGGCTAATATTTTTATAAAACCCTTTCCTGAAGATAGATTTCTGTTTATTCTAAAGAATCTGAAAATGGATTTCTGTCCAGAGTAAGATGTCATTAGAATTAACTGTGTTCTAGTCATAGTCTGAAGAAATATGATTCTGACTTAATCAAAAGACTTCTAATATGTTTATCTCAAGTCATCAAAAGATGTTTCGGTTAGAAATGTCCCTAATCCAATGGAAACTTTTCTGGTTCTCCAGACTTTGAGAATATCAAACGCATTACCTAAATAGACTTAGTGTCCATCACACTCTACCTAGGTCATACACGAGCAATTATTTTTCTTGAAATTGATTAATCACGATTACATTTATTTAACTACTCCTCGGGAACAATCATTTCATGTCATACCTATATTTCTATGTCTGACATTCCATGTCATGATTAAATGTTTTCGTGCTCTCTGATCTTAATGTTTGATCTACTTCTCTCTTCATTTCCTTCTTTTAGTAGTCTGAGATGTCACTTGAGTGTTTAAATTGTCTTAATTCATGAACTGCTTGACTGACTATTTATAACTCTTTTCATCTATAGTTTTTCATCAAGTCATTATACTTGTATCATCTTTAATTAAACATGTCTACATATCATGGCTATTAGAACTTTTCAAGGAGATGAAAATCTTCTCAAAGTAATCAAAGAGAAAATAACCAGTTATGTGTCTGATGATGGTTTCATCAACAGGGTCCTTGAAAATCAAGGATGGTTTGGGTATGCAACAATGCTGAGAGGTCATGCTTATTCTAACCTCTTAAAGAATTTCTGGCTCCATGCTTTAGTTAGTCCTGATGGAAACACAATTCATTGTCACATATTTTGTGTTCTGGTTACCATCACTCGCTCCTCTATTGATGAAGCCATCCAAAGTCCACCTTTACCCAACTCCTGCATGAATGTTGATATGTTTCCAAATGTTCCTAACTCTTCATTTAGATTTGACCCCTCTAGTGCTAATCACTTGAAATCACTTTCAAAAGTCTGGTTTCAGTTTATGTTGAAAAATCTTCATCCCATAGGAGAAGATCTTGATATAGTCTTTCCTAGGGATATGTGTCTTCTTTATTGCCTTCATAAGAATATTCCAATTCATATTTTGGCAATAATATTCAATCATCTGAAGCTATCAATCCAAGCATCCAGGAAATCTCAAAAATAATTCATTCCACATGGACGTATATTGTATGAACTGTTTGAGTTAGCAGGTATGATTTAAATTGTTCAATGAAATATGTTTATCAGAGGCAATGCTCTATTTGATGAGAGTTGTGATGTGTTTGAAATTTAGATAAGCTTTCCGTGTCTATGATCACTCTGTAATAATTTCTTTCGAATATCAATGAAGTTTCTTTTCTTCTGGTTTTTATGTTTTTCACACATAATTACCTTTTTGATTATGACAAAAATGGGGAGTAATTTAAATGAACGTAATTTTGATTTCAATAATCAAGTTCTGTAAAATTTTCTACGAAAAGAGTTGATTACATTCTAACCCAGTTAAACTCATGTTTCTGTTAGAATTGTTTTTCCTTTTCAGGAAATTAGAACTCTGATTAAAAGACAAAGATCTGAAAACACTATTCAAAGCTTATGCCTAACCTGTTGGCTCCAGACTCCGAATATGTTCTTCAATTTATAATCAGACTTCAAGAAGTAAAACCTGGAATCAGACTCCAAAATTGAGAATCTATTGAGAATCTGAAAGATGTCTTAGTCACATTAAAGTTTCAAAGATTCAATAAAGAAGTTGTGTGAAATCAAGATCTCAATTTGTCTATTGGCATCCAAAGTCAAGACTCTCAAGATCTCGATATCTGATCTATTGGAACCAGGGGGAGTGTTTTTACTCAAATGGTTCATAGTCAGGATATTCGATCTTCATCAAGTCATTGACTCAGGGGGAGTATCAGAAAAAGGATAAGTATTTCTCACCATTCTAATTTCACTGATTATGATTATATGTACAAAATTGTATCTTCAAAATACATAGTTTTGTCATCATCAAAAAGGGGGAGATTGTAAGAATAAGATTTGGTTCTGCAATATCATCTCTGAGTTCTGATGATAACAAATGGGTATGATTGTATGAACAATTTTGTTGTACTAATGTTTGTTATTGTTGAGTACTTAACAAACAGGTTCTGCTTCTGATGAATGGCGTGGCCAAGACATTAGAAGAGAATTAATTTTCCACTTCTATGCTACACAAGTTCTGTTGAACAGTAGAAAGACACTCCAAAAGGCTCTGAAGTGTAAACTCTGATATTTGTCTGGAGAAACCAATCAAAAGATCTGAAGACAGAAGTTGTTACTTATGTCCAGATGCTGAAGACTCAAGCTTCTAAAGATAACATGTTCCAAAGAAACAAAGTTAGAAGATCTGAAGACAAAGTTTCTACTGAAGTCCAGATGCTGAAAGCTTGTGTTTCTATTAATGAAGTTATAAATATAAGAGTTCTGAAGACCAAGTGCTGAAGACTCTAAAAGAAAGAAGGTCTAAAGACTCTAAAGACTTGAAGTTCTAAAGACCCAAGGTTCCAAGAAAAGGTTCTCACGACCAAGTGCTGAAGACTCTGAAGACACAATTCTGAAAACTCTTAAGACTTGAAGTTCTGAAGACCTGATGTTATGTTCTCGCTTCTAAACTCATGCTCGCAGAAGCCTCTGAAGTGCAACAGGAAAGAAGATAACGTTAACGTGGTACAAATAGTACATGGTACAATCAACGTTTCATTCCACTACCATGAAAGGACGGACGCGTCGCTCGATCTTGTCCCCCACATTACTGTTTAAGCTGCCAATGTTTATGGAAATTCCAAGAGTATCCCTCAACGAATACATTATGCTAATGGCTATATATAAAGGTTTTAAGACTAAAAAAGAAAGCAACCAACTAACGAAATATTCACGCGCAAATAATGTTCATTGCTTTCACGTTCTTAAGTCACTGTTCATAAAATAGTTTACATACTCAGCTTTTTAGAAGCAACATTCTTGTAAATAAAACTTGTATTCAAACTCTTGTTTGATATTCCTTAAGGGACCGGGTAGGTCTGAATCCTTAAGAAGTCTAGAGCTTGTGAGTTTTAGAATTTGTTAGTCACTTGTGGGTAGCTTGTGCATTGTTATAATCAGGTTAATTATTAGTTAATATTCCTTAAGGGACCGAGTAGGTATGAATCCTTAAGAAGGCTAGGGCTTGCGAGTCTAGAGGTTGTTAGTCGCTTGCGGGTAGTTTGTGAAAATTATAATCAATTTGGTTATAGTGAATTAAGTCCTCGATTGAGTGAGGCAAAATTACCTTGGCGGGTGGACAAGACTAGCTTGATAATTTTCAAGTGAACTAGTATAAACATACACTGTTCTTTACTTCATGTTCTTACTTATTGTTATTATCAATAGTGAAGTAAAAAAGCATTTTAACTTAAAAGGGGAATATTTTTTAAAAGAATTACTTTGTTTTAAAAACCTAATTCAAACCCCTCATTTCTTGTGTTTTTCACACCTTAAACTTCCTCATCCTTCACTACTTGCACGAATGATTCCCACACCTGTAACATAAGCACTCAAGATATCAACTATATAAGGGCCGATTAATTTCGACTGCAAACAATGGCTTCTCTTTAACAGTGCCAATCCAATACAAACTGAATTTTGGCTCTCCTGAAAACATCGGCTGGATACCTGAAACATCAACAACAAAAGACATTGAAACACCTAAGTAATATTTATAAGCCTTCATATTGCTTTTTAACTGCAAATGTTGCAAAATGCAAAAGATGCTGTAAATTTATATCAATGACAAAATAAAATTATGAAATCAACGCCGCAACTAATTCAAATTAAAACATCATATTCAGATCAAAACATGCTGAGAAGTATGTCTGTGTTTCCGACTTGGCTGACCCTACAAAGTTTCAATGGACTTATACTTGGAGCCTGTGAATGTGATTTCTCTAACTGTATATTAAGTTTTGAATTTATGGTTGCTCGGTCCAAGAACCTGTCAAAACATAACTAAATATAACATTTTGATATGTATGTTTCAATGATAATTAATGTTAAAAAAACAAAGTTTCAGTTGTTTCCTTCCTACATCATCAGATGTCATTACATCATAACTTTTATTTGCTAAGACATGGTGATCTCCTCCACAGGAAGGGTAGACTACATAAAGTTATGACAAAAGAGTAAGTTCTCAAGTGCAACGGAAAGTAAGAATTGACTGGTTAGAAGTATAGTCTATAGCTCTTTTTTTAAGAGTAAACATTACAATTTTTAACAAAATAAAACATAAAGCATTAATCAATGTGTTGGCAGTTACCTTGCAAAACTAAATAAAGCATCTTTCAACTAATATTTTAAAAGAGTTGCAGCACCAACATAAGACCAGATCGAACAATTGAATTCATCATGAAGCACATTGTCATGGAAGTCAATATTAATATCAATATTTGATGTAGCTGTCGAACACATAATTACTTCACCTATTTGATTTGTAGTTTACTGATACTGCATAATCTATTTCAAATAATTGATCAGTACTGGTGAATATACTATGATGTATAGGTATGAGTACAATACCCGGTGCGGGTACTTGTACCGGTACGAGATACAATTTTTTAAAAAAATCAAGATACGAGTACATTAATACAAAAATAAGAATTTTCTATAAAATATACGAATATATAGTTAAATTGTTAGGTTCGTAACAATAAATCACTATAAAAATTTTAAAAGTTAAAAAATAATATTAAGATACAATAACAAAGAAATTAAAACAACTAAATTTACTACATTGATATTTAAGAAAACTACAAGTTTCATTCAAAATTTAATATTGAGAAAAATGAAGTACCACCAGTACAATACGAGTATCTGGTACGGGTGCGTACCCGGTACCGGTACTTCACCGTTTTTAAAGTACCCATGCTTCAGAGGTATTTGAGTAGACAAATATTTCACAGTTTCAATGATACTGCATAATCAGTTTAAATAATTGGCAGCTTTGGATAACGATGAATCCTAATCTAAAACAGCTTGAGCTTTAGATAATGATATTGCATACCTTCTCTCAATCTTGTGCCTGCTGATAAAGCTTGAGAAGCACGGTCACTTCCTGATAGATCCACAAAATTATGTTCAAAGAAACTAACTTTTGATTCATTTCATCTATCCAACAACAAAAGTAATACACACAAACACATATTTGTCCCCCAGAAGAAATGAAAATCTTAGCACACTGACTAAAAGTGCGTCAGATTTTGCAGCGCCTACAAAATCACTTGGATTCCTTTCAATTGTCTGCAGAAAATCATCAACTTTTTATTTTAGGAAAATTTGGGGATACAATATTCAATTTTAATCTCAATTTATAAATTATTTAGAGATAAAGTGAATACCGGTCGAAGAATTTGATGAGATCTGGAGCTTGTTAATTCACAGTCTTCGTTTTATTTGATGCTGAATATGAAAAAGGATGATTAATTTACTCCTAACACAATGATAGACTTAAGAAACACCTGTTCTAATTCAGTTTCATAGCTCCTTCTTACTGAAGAAACAGCCCGAACAACATCAAAATTATTTGACAACAACCTATCACCCAGAAATTTCAAACTGAAGCTGTAAATCTAACTTTTTTATATTATGTAGTTGTTGATTAGAATAAGCAAAAATAACACTGAAAAACAACCTGTAAGAAGAGAAAGAATCAAGAAACCGACGAAGATATTTCATCGAACACTTTGTAACAAAGATTGAACGCAAAACCGACGAAGACATTTCATCGAGCACGACTGAGGCAGCGTATTTTGAGTGTTACCTGTCATAACCATCGATTTTCCCCTTCAATTGTTTTACTTTGCAGTGACAAATCAAATTCAATTCAGCAGAAAACATTGATGATTGAATCTAATGTAACAATCGATTGATTAAACAAAAATGATTGATTTTACTCTATTGAAATCATCACGCAAAATCTGAAATCTAAATTGAAGTAGAGGAGAAGACGGAAGAAAGAGAGAGAGAGGATTGAAGAAGAAGAGGTGACATAAGAGAGAAAGGGATGGGAGAAGAAGAGGCGTTGAGATGTGTGGTATGATGATAAGGTTGAAAGAAAATTAAGGGTTTAAGTTCTAATAATTTTGCATTAAAAACATATGTGTTTTATCTTACATTTGATCTTCTTAGTGGCCCAAACAATTAAAATTTCACGTGTTTCATAACAAATAAAGTTTAATTAATTTAAAAATATAATATAATTATATTAATTAAAACTTTCCTTTTATAACATAAATAAAAATATAAAAATATATGAGAGAGTGTCAAATGACAAACTTGTCAAAAAAAACTTATCTTACACTATTATAGTGTATAAATACATCTAAAACAATGAAAATGCTAATTCCTATTCTTTCAAAAACAATGAAACCTAAAAAAAACATACTAAAAAGCAAAAAAATGGAAAACCAAAAGACAGAAGTAGAATATTGTTTTCTTTATTAGGCTTCCACAGAGAATAAATCATGAAATATCAATGAAAGTGTTTTTTTAAGTTGTTACCATTATTAAATGAACTGACGAATTTATAATAGTGTTATGCAGTTACCCTTGTATAGTTATATTTGGAGAGAAGTTTATAAAAAGTTGAAAAAAACCAACTCTAAGAGTTATACACGTCAGGGATGATTACCACGTTCATCTTTAAAAAATTTCAGCTTTTTATTTTTATTTTTTTTTTAAAATTAAGTAAATTGTAATATTTTAAATGGTAAAATGAGAAGAAAAATAGGCCAGCCCAAATTGTTTATTTCAAAGATTAAAATTAATAATTTTGAAAATATTATTCCAAAAAATATTATTATCAGGAACTTTATTCCTACTTTTATGTTTGATAAATAATTTAAAATTTCAAAAATATTTATAAAATATATTTTATTTAAAAATTTAAAATAAAAAATAAAAGAGTTAAATATTGGTGATTACGTTTCTTATTTTCATGGAATAAAAGATTCTCATTCTAATGTATAAAAAATAAAAAAAATAAAGTGTAAATGAAATTCCCAAGAATAAAAAATTTTAAAATCAATTATTGAAACAAATATGGGAATTCAAAAAATTTAAATCATATTAAACAATTCTTGATAGTAACATACAAACCAACTCAATTGATTTGAATTTGAATTTTTTTATTAATAACTAATTATTAAAATAAAATTTCGTAAATAACCGCGTTTTGGAAAAAAATACGCAAATAACCATGTTTCAGATGACTCTTCAAAGGAGGAGCCATCTGAAATGGCGCATACACCTATATTTTAAGGGGAGGCGCCATCTCACTTGGCGCCTATGTGCTTAGGGCATGCCCTAAGCCAAGTGAGATGGCGCCTAGGTGTATTTTTAGGGCAAAAATTATTTTTTTTTGTCCGGTGCGTTGCGTGTTGGATAGAGGATCAACAAAATGGACTTTTTATTATAAAAAAAAAATTACATTCAACTGTATTACATTAAAATAACAGTAAAAAAACAGATTAAAAAAATGGATAAAAAAAAACAGGAAAAAAAAACAGATAAATCAGTGATCCCCCGGAACCCGGTAATGACCCCCGGTTCCGCAGCCCCGTCCTCGCCTTTCTCGTGCTAGGTGTCGTCGTGTTTCCTGCTGCGGCAGGTCGATGGCCCAGCGAAGTCAATGCGGTCCGGATCCATAAAATCAGTCAGATCTTCATATCTAGAAGATCCGCTTTGGTACAGTCGGTTACCCATACCCTCAAAGTTTGGTCGTGTTGGCGATGGGTGGGGTTCCATAGTGGGTCTGTAGCATTGATCGTCTGAGTACGGTGGGTAGAAAGGAAATGGATCTTGGGGTGTTTGGTATTGAGGATGTTGGGTGGTTTGGTGATATTGTGGTTGATGGTAGGTTGGGTCGGTTTGTTCGTAATCTTCCGACATTCCCATATCAGGGCTAAGGCTGGATGTTGAGGGGCCCATATTGGGATATGTGGAAGACTGAAATTGTGTGTGGGGTATGCGGGTGTGCTGGTATTGGGATTGGTATTGTGGTTGGGTGTGAGGCATATCGAGGTATTGGTAGTGTGGTGGTGATTGTGGTTGGTTGTGTGGCATTTGAGTGTAGTTGTGTTGTGGTGGGGACTGTGGTTGGGTGTTTGTGGGTCTGTTTCTTCTTGGGGGTTGGTGGGAGGTTGATGGGTTTTGGGTTTGTTGTTGGGGAACCGAGGGTTGTGCCCATTGTGTGCGTGGGTCAACCAAGTACCTTGGATGAGACACGTGCATTTCAGGGTTACTAACCGACCTGTACCAAGACAAATATTGATCCGAGTGTCGCATATTACCTTGAATTAGGAAAACTGGGAATTGCAAGACATAGCGGTGACGCCTCTGCCACATCTTACACCACTCTGGAGCGAAGTCTTTCCAATTGGTAAGACCCCACTGGGCGTCGACCCTTTTAAGATGCCATGGGGACAAACAAGTTGGATCACTTGGTATCTCTTGATGCATTCCGAACTGCATCTTCACACGGTCGCTGTGGTGTATCTCCACAATGTTGAACCGAATGATTGCAGTCTTCGCGGTCCAAGTTGCTGCATCCTCCGGGTTTGGATTATGGCCCAAACCCAAATATGGTCTCCAAACGAACTGCGATAAAATTTAAATCAGGTTAATGCAAAAGTAATGTATAAATAATTTAATTGAGTAAAAGTTAAAAGCTATGACGTACGTCATCCGGGCCTAAGTGATCCAACAGATTGCGGTAGAGTGCGACATTGAATCTTGGATTCTTGCCGTAATCCATACCCCTCACGCAGTATCTAAAGGAAATGAGAAACATTTTATTCTTAGCATATATTTGGTGAAGAGATGAATAGTTATAAATGCTATAACTTGATGACTTACTTTGTTGCGTACGGGAAACCGAAAGTGTTGTTGTTGACGGGGTTTAAGGACTCCATCCTCCACCAACCCCAGGCTTGTAGTAAAAAAGCGCACCCATAAAATGTACATTTTTCCTTGACTGCGTTTTTGCACAAGGAACTGTATAGGTGGGCTAAAACTGCAGAACCCCAACTATATTTTCTTGTTTTTTCAAAATTTCTTAGTAAATGTAAATACATAAAATTTACACTATTTCCCGTACTTTCGGGAAATAAAAATGCACCAAAAAGTATCATAAGATAAGTTCTGGCTTTTACTACCCTGTCATTCTCGGAGGAATTTTCATTTAATTCCAAACTTGGATAATGACTTTTCAGCTCAGTGAGTAGTATTCCCTGCCCTCTCGCACCACCACCTTCTACCATATCCCTGCCCAACAGTTCTTTACACTGAGAGTTGGGTTGTTGAACTGACCCGTTCACGGCCTTACCGTCGACAGGGAGACCTAGTAGCATGTACACATCCTCTAGCGTGATGGTACATTCACCTATTGGTAGGTGGAATGTATGGGTCTCCGATCTCCACCTTTCCAACATTGCAAGAATGAACTTCGAGTCAATGGTGCAGTTGGAGATCTTTATGACATGTCCAAAACCTGCGTATTCCAGATATGGGACGATAAATGGGTCGGGAGCCAGGTAGTTGTGCGAACGGAATCTGAATCTTTTTGTGTCCTGAGTTCATAACGTAACATGTGTAAGATTAATTAAGATGAACAACGCGTTATTTGAAGTATGAAAAATGTATAACCAAAAAAGAAACTTACAAATGCGGCAATGTTTTCCCTTGTGCCTCTGTGAGTATCGCCCATTGTTAGAAGAGCCATTGTTTAAAATGCTTGATAGTATGAAAGACTTAGGAAGAGATAGAGAGTATGATAGACTTATGAAATATTTCGTAGCAGAGAGTGAGACTTGTGTGGGTGTGAGAGATGTATCATATGGTATGTATTTATAGGCAAATAAATTTGATATAGTGGTTGCTTGTGCTTGCATGTCTGCGAAGTGTCACATTTGCAGGCTAGGTGGCAGCCTAGGGGGTTACACATATGCATGCATGCATGTACAAAAAATGAAATGTGTCACTCTTGCAGGCTAGGTGGAAGCCCATGCTTGTATCACGATTGGACAGTAAGGGAGACGCCATTGGACTTGGTGAAAGAGTACAAAAATGAATGGTGTCGCCACCCCAATTGGCGAATAAGAGGTGTCCTTTGTTGCAGCCTAGGCTCAGGCTACCTGACAGCCTTTGGGATTCCTTGCATTAGTGCATGTAAGTCCATTGGAGTTGATGGGAGGAGACTTACAAAATAAATGTGTAGGTGCAGACTTGGGGCAGGCTAGGTGGCAGCCTAGGGGGTTACACATATGCATGCATGCATGTACAAAAAATGAAATGTGTCACTCTTGCAGGCTAGGTGGCAGCCCATGCATGTATCACGATTGGACAGTAAGGGAGGCGCCATTGGACTTGGCGAAAGAGTACAAAAATGAATGGTGTCGCCACCCCAATTGGCGAATAAGAGGTGTCCTTTGTTGCAGCCTAGGCTCAGGCTACGTGACAGCCTTTGGGATTCCTTGCATTAGTGCATGTAACATTATTGGCAGCCTTGGGGGGTTGCATCATTACTTAATTGAAATTTTTAGCCTTACGTTTATCATAACATTGATTCACATAATCTGTCAAATCTTCCAACCTTCAAACGTTCTTACAACCAAACCTTCAAACCTGCAAACAATCAAACATTCCAACCTTCAAATCACTCATAAAATTCAAACATTCCAACCTTCAAACATTACCGCATTCAAACCTTCATACAATCAATA